AGGCAGGAAGGTCAGAAAAGGACATGTGATGAGGGAAGCAGAGGTCTGAGTGATACGGAGCCAGGAGCCAAGGAATGCTGGAAGCCTCTAGAATCTGGAGAAGCTTCTCCATCAGAACCTCCGGAAGGAATACAGTCCCGCTGACACTTTGACTTTAGCCCCGTGAAACCCATTTCAGACTTGTGACCTCCAGGCTCTTAAGATAATAAATTGGTGTTCCTTTAAAGCATTAAGTTTGTGGTGATTTGTTACAGCAGCAAAAGGAAGCTAATACAGCAGATGAGGGCTATCCAGCTAGTGGGTTCAGGTTCTGATGGTAAATGTAACCATTTGCTCATTTGCTGAGCAGATACTGTGTATCAGGCACCACGTTTGGTGCTGAGAAAACATCTGGTGAGCAAAACAAAACAGGGTCCCTCCCGTCCAGTGGAGGAAGACAGAGAGTATTCTGGTCATCAATTCAGTGCCTCTTGGCTCCAAATTCACCCCTCATGACCTGCTCTGGGAAAATGGATCTGAGCCTTTAACAGCTGTCCTTTGCCAATGGGCAAGAGTTACGCTACGTCAGTAGGGGGCGCTGGAGAGACACTTGAGTAGGAAAGTGTTTGCTTTCTGATTCTGGGGCACCCTTCCAGCACTGGTGGCTTCCCCGCCACACCCTTGTATCCAGCTCCTGCAGCACCCAGTGACCTGCAGCTTTCACCAGCATCCACTTTGAGTGGTTTGGTAGCAAGTGCTTCTGAAGAGACAGCTCCCTGTGGACAGCTGTCCCCAGACTCCCAGCAATTTCCACTGGTATGCTACCTCAGCAGCTTCTCCTCATTCAGTGGGCTGTGAATGTACCCTCTCCAGCGAGGTCTGGATCTCCGAGGGTTGGGGGAAGGCCTCTGGCTCAGATGCACTAACTCCACCCCAGGGCAGTGAAGGCTCCTGACTCGGCCATTCCCATATTTTTCAGAGCTCTCTTCACTTCTTAGCAAGCAATCTCTCATCACTCTAGTCCCTGTTATAATTAATGGTCCTTTATATCAACCTCTCCCTGCTCAAATTCTTTCTTGTGACTGGAGCCAGACTGAGACAGGCAGTGCACAAAGCATCACGTAAATAAGCGAGAATTATAGATGAAAGAAAGAACGAATTTAGCTGGAGTGGCCAGGAGAACCCTCTATGAGAGTTGGCTTTGAAGGTCAAAGAGACAAGAAATCAACCAAATGGAGCGTTCTGGGCCTAGGGTGAACCATGAGAAGACGTGAGCAGGACCGAGGCTCAGCGGGGCCAGGTTCTGAATGCACAGGCTTCTGGGACACCTTGGGACCTCAGACTCACATCGTACAACAAAAGGGCATCGGCCGGAGCCTGCCTGCCCTCAGATCCATTCGCAAGCCTTCCCCTGATGGGTTCTGGCTCCCAGAGGCGTTGACCCCAAAGACGGTGTTCCTTAGGGGACCCCTGCCCTGGGCCCCAGGATCACCTCCTCCTGCCTCCCAGCCCAGGGGTGGGTGGATTCCCACTCCGGCTATGGTTCCTGAGTCTCCTGTGTTCTGTTCCTGGCTTATCAACTGTCCTACATCCTGTGTACCTGAGTGATTCCACTTAAAGTTTTTCTGTCCTAACTACAAAAGTGGCTTCCACTCCTCAGTAGACTCTGATACAATAACAAGCCCAATTTTATTTGAACATTCCATGGACGAGTAATCTAGCACCCTTACATCACGCATAAGTTGTCCAGGGTTAGTTGCCACTGAGAAGTAGGAGGAGGGGGAGGGGGAGAAGGGAGGGGGGTGAGGAAGCATTACATAAAAGTTACTTACACCCTAAGAGCAGTGGGCAAAATTCTCCCCTGAAGGCCACTCTGCAGCAGTTACGGGTTTGGAAAGCAGCTAAAACAACTGATTAAAGAGAAAAGATGAACTACCAATTCTGGTTCCACCGCAAACCTTACTAAATAGCTCTGGTCCCTTGGAGGCATTTCACAGCCACTCTTCACAGGGATGCAGGAGGTGCACTGTGATACATGACACCACTCAACCATCCAACCCTGGCACTTCCCAGCCAGTGGGAATTAAAGCCAAATGCAAGAAACCATCCCTAAGTAAAGATCAGCCAGATGGGGAGACACTAAGCGTCACAGACATGCAGTGAGCACAGCAAACATACAACAACCTCCTCGGAGAAGCCAGGGAGAAGCAAGCAGCTCAGACGGCTCCAGCGGGGGAAAAGCTGGGGGATGGCGGAGCGAGTGCCACAGAGAACAAACCAGCGTCTGCAATGCAGCCAAAATAAGCGCACCGCTCACATCCGCGGGACCCCTCCCAGGGCTGCACCAGGCACCTGTCACTAAGAACAGGAACAGGACGGAAGATGAGCCCCAGGGGGAAGTGTTGGCAGCCAAGGAAAGGTTGTCCGAGCCGACCTGTATCTTGGCCTGCTTTCCTGTTCTGCCAGGCTCTCCATCCTCGCCCAAGTTTCACCACCTCCTTCTGCCTTAGGTTCTGTCCCATCCCACCACGTGCCCTGACCCAGTGACGAGCACCCCACTCAGACCAGTGCCATGAGTTAGGTCTTCAGGCAGCATCATGACAGAAGAGTTCACCTCTGGCCAAAGAGCGCTGGAGGGTCTCACCAAGCAAAGGTCTCATTGGGAAAGGCCACACTAGCAGACAATATCCGCCGAAGCCCTATAACAACAGAATAATAGTCCCCATTCACCAGTATTCTCCTTAGGTTACTTTATTACAAGATGCTAAAATTAAAGTTCTGGCCAAGGATACACTTTCTGTCCCAAATGCTCACCTCTGCCATCACGGCATTAAAGCAAACCTAGACAATTCAGAACAAATGAACAGGCTGTGTTCCAATAAGACATTTTCTACTAACGCAGGCGGCAAGCTGGATTGGTCGGTGGGCTGTACTGGGCTGACTGCAGGTCCATACCCCTGTCCTGGTTCCAGCCTCCTGGCAGGTCAACATACATCACTTTCTAGCTCCTCTCGGAACCAACACCTGCCCACGAGAGAAGGGCATGACACTCATCCTTACAAGTAGCAGGGGTCTGCAGAAGCCCCAGGGAATTGACTGGTACTGATGAGACATACAGCAAAATCCTAAGGACTTCGAGTGAAGAGATGACACAACCTCAGCCAGATCTTGGTCCATCTGGAGAATTGACAGAAAAGGTCCTGGGAAAGGGAACATAGGACTGCCTCACTCTGTCCTAAAATCCTCATCCATCCACCTCTGCGCCTTCACGGGGCTCTTTCCCACGAAACTGTGGCCACCCTCAAACCAAAATGCAGATCACTGCTGGTGTGTATCATCTCCAACTGTCTAGCCTTCAAGAACTAGATGATCCCGGCAGCTCAGATTACAGCACGGGATTCAGTCATTCACTCGACAGATCGTAAATGCCCCAGGCATTGTTCTAGGTGCTGGGGACACAGCTGTGGACAAAACTGATGGGAAGCCTACCGTCATGGATCTCTCCTTCTGGGGAGGAACAGAGATGATGAATCCTAAACCTCAAACACTGATAATATCTAAGAAGAAGATAGAAGAGGGTTTAGATGTAGACAGAGAGGGATGGGCAAGGGGAATGGACAACCAGCTTGGGCTTCCCTGGTCAGGGAAGGTGCCTCTTAACAGTCGAATCAAGAAGGAGCCAGATATGGGGAGACATAGGGAAAGGGAGTTTTGGGGCAAAGAGTCAAGAACACAGATACGGGAATTGCAGAATTAATTGTAGGACAGAGGGTTTTATTTGCAAGGATCTCACCCCTGGTATCCAACTTTGAGTATGGATGATAGAAGTACCCCCAGATTGTCCTAGAATGGCTAGGTGTGGACCCCCAAGCTTTGGTCCCAGACAGGAAGGTCAAAGCAGCACAGAATGTATTTGGACATTTCCAGTGTGGGAAAGGCCATTAGCAATATTGCACTCCCAGGGTTTATTATCCCTGTGACCCATCGGCACCATCTTTTAAGGTTCTGGCACATTGTCCACGACACTGTTCTCAGAGGTGTTCCCTGAGCCTGACTGAATAGAGCTTCGGCCAAGCTCAGAGGAAAGAGCTGGTCACCCCCCAGGCCAGAAACAGAAACACATGTGGTTTTATGGTCTCTGGGACCCTATCCAGGTTCATCTGGTCAGTTCCCAATAAGGTTCTTTCGGTCCATCTGCATTTTAGAGTTTGCCAATCCCCAAGCTACATGGGAACTCTCAGGGCAGTTGACCAGGGGCTGTTTACTCAGCATAGAGAGAGGCCATTCCCACAACATACTCCTGATGCATTTCAGTGCAACTGTCTTCACTCAGGACAACACTCGGTCCTGAGATGCACACAGGCTGAGCCAATAAAAAACACGGGCTCCCCGGGACACGGTTCAGCAGTATCCACCAAGGAAAGCGGAA